CGGATATATTGCTTAAATAGCGTATAATGAAAAGGCCTTTCTAACCAGGCAACGAGCGTGTGTTACACGACCGCCTCTGAATAGATACGAGAATTCGAAGAAGCACTTCCATCATACTCGCGTAGTTCTTAAATGGACCATGGAAATGATGCAGAATACGATAGTTGCAGCTAGCAAAAGAGTCTGGTTTGAATTACGTGATGCTATACACGGCATACGCTATTTACAAAAAATACGTACACGATCAGATATTGCTGAATAAACCAGAATGGTTTATTATTCTTCTTCTTCTATACACTTCTGCGACCAACTCGGGAATTGCAATTAGGGGGTAGTTAGGCAATTTAGAATTATAATAAATACAAATTACGAGAGTCCAAAAAAGGACATCAGAAACCGAAGAAACACGTCATGAGAAAATTATCATTACTTGTTTGTTGAAGTGTAATTATCTAAACCATTGGTGTTATTATGCTGTTTAGAGCAGAAGTCTGATACACTTTGATACATTTTCCGTTACCGGCAACACAGTCGGTTAACTCGAGTATTATTATTATCTTCTTCTCCTCGCTAATTATAATCGCTATTTGCAGCATTACCGCTTACTGCTCAGAGCTCCAAGCACCGATCGACAGAAGTCGTCCAGTCTATTGAAACATAGCAGTCAGACATATTACTCAAAAACATACATATCTGGACTTATTTGAGCGGTATACTACTTTTTAAGTGAGATCAACATTTTTAAACCCAATCTTCATTTAAAGATAAACTTTTTTCGTGGATAAATACGTCATTGCTCCACGTGGGTAACAACGCTCACCCTGTTCGAGCTACATCCACTAATCAGCTAGCTTTATTAATGTCATCTTCTTAACTACAAGGATATTTATTTTATTTGTTCTTTAAATTTTCAGTTTAAATTGGTGATAATTGTGACGGAACCATATACAATGCGTGCGTCTATCTATTGTATAGGGTACATGACATGCCCAGTTGACGTGGCTTATCTCATTTTTCTTTAGTAAGCAAGTTTAGAGGTTTTTCGAGTTTCGACCTTTTGATGAATGGGTCGGTGAAGGAACTCTTTAGAGCCATGTTGCATTGAGTAGATGCCTTCAAGTAGCCTTTTCGAGGCAGAGAGCTTGGGCTTCGGCTGGCTCGTGCTATGTACAGGAATTGTGCTGAACTTTAGAATGTGTGATTTTGAACGGCTGACCAGCTTTTCTGCCAGTCGGGCTCACTACAAAGACGAAAAGCAAATTGAAATAGCCCGAAAATGTTTGTTTGACAATCCACAATAACAGGGTATAGATAACACTAGGGTAAGCTATTGGCAGATATTTAAAGAACATTTGTGGCTGTGCTATTCTCATATAGCTTATAAGCAAAAGTGCTCTTGTCTTTAATTAGATGCTAAGTATCCTGCGAGTTCGCTGCCCATGTAGGACTTCCTATATAAACAAACGTGAGGGATAGTGCAGTGGAACCCTTTTTTCGATGACATATAAAGTTCTACTCATAACACCATATGTAAGATTCATTTTAAACTGCACGTTGAAATTCATTTTCAGAAAGCGTCACTGTACACGTTAAAGTCGGCAGACGGAGACTGCAATATACCGACTTCAATAAAGGTGACAATGTATAAACACGTAATTGATTTTCTTGTTTTAAGTCAGGCCGTAACATGTATCGCATCTACTGAAACAAGTCGATGGAACTGCCATTGTATAAATCGTGTTTAATCGCACCAAATAAGAATTTTTATTCACGTTAAGCTGAGAGACTTGATGTCAAGTTCTGATTATGGACCCTTTTGGTATTAGCCTTACGTGTAAATTACCAGGGACGCCCGTCCTTGGCCTTTCAGAGGTAAGTGACGCGCCATAATCAGAATGGAACCGAAATTGAGGTTTTGCTTTTTCTTTACGTTGTCGATCCTTGATTCAGGTTATGTCTATTTGTTTCTCTTATAGATACGTGTCAAAAAGATCGAAGCAGGACCCCAAAGGCGCTCAGTAGTTCGTAACAATAATCGTAGTAGCAATATAATATACAATACGTTTTTATACAGCATTAGCTTTTGAAATATATTAAGGATTAGCCTAGCCATTTAAGTGCGCATATACGTTACTTCTGATACGTTTCTTTCTTTATACGACTGGAGAGTGACGTTATTGCGTTATATATATATATATATATATGTGTGTGTGCGCGTTTGTACTCATAACTTTTAATCCAATAATGGAAGACCTGTTCTATATTCCTACTAGCTTGCTACTATAACTACCCAATGTTCCATGCTTATGTTATTGTTATATTAATTGTGCTCGACGAAGTGCTCGTGTCTGGGGTGTTGTGCATTACGATCGAACCCCCCGACGTATGAGACTTTTTGCACCTTTTCCGGGTATCGTCACACTGCTACATAGCCCCAGTGTACACAGCGGACACCGCCAAAGAGGACAATGAATCTTCGTCCTGTTTCTCGCTATCTCTGCTGAACAAACACCTCAGAGGGGCGGCTAGTATGTCGGTAGCTAAAGTGTTGTCAATATCGTTTTTATTGACGCTTCCTTTTTCGCGAACGATCAGCCAGCTACACAAATAGAGAGATGCACATAACACGCAATCAGCAGTGTCGCGCTGGCTTGCAATTACCGTCTGAGCCGTCCCCATTTCTTTCAAGAGTAATAACTCAGTCCACATTTGCAGAGCTTCGAGAAAATCACTATATGTTGGATCGTCGATGGGCTGTTACCTAACTGTTACTGCCCAGGAACTGCCGCATTGAATTGATACCTTCATGAGTGAACAACTGAAAGTCTGCACGTCCATTTATGTGTAGTGAGTGGCTTCATTAGTAAGACAGATCTTACGGCTAGGTTTGTCCTAGTAAATAAGCCTATTTATACTTTTAAACAAAGCATATGCTTTAATTTTTGTAAAATACAGGGACCTTGTTTCGGTATTTTCCGTATTTCGATTCACAAAATTAGGTAGAAGATCATTTCAGAGAGTCGTCTTTAGCCCTAGTTTTAAATTCCACGAGATTTTTAGGACCCTTGCCCAAACACAGCTGTATCTTTTGGGGATGATTAGAGCTTACGTTCTAACATATTTTTTGTTTTAACGCCTTCAGCTATTTTCATCATGCAGAGAAGTCTTTGAAATCATCTTCACTGGTATAGCATCACCTCGTTAGCACAATACTGCCCTATCACGACAGCGCTAAGGACTTGCCCTCACTAAATGGTCTATTTAAAGTGGGCCCTGTTGAACTTATTTTGGTTTTTTCAACAAACCTATAAAACGGCCTGGTAACCATATACCATGGAAACCATTCACTACTGCTAAAATTAGAATCAGTTATAGCCAGTTGGTTATGGTTACCATGACAGCATATTCGAAGCAATGCATCATCAATTGCCTTTCGTTGGGTTTTCAACGCGTAAGATAGAAGGTGCCAACCAACAGCTTCCCGTTGGTTACTCTCGGTACCTAAAGAAATCGTGGAGACCAAATTTTGGGCTAGGAGCCAGCATTTGAAAGTGAGCTTGCTTAAAGTGAGTCAGAATTGCATTGTTTTAAACGACTTGCAGCTTCTCAATAATTTTTCCCTGAGACCCACTTCTGACTGCGATATAGCGACAGAATAAGAGTTTAGTTAAAATGTTGCAGGCAGACATAGAGACAGATAAGGGGGGCATGGATATTGCGAAAGCGGGACCAGCATGACACTGCCACTCTTGTATCGGACGTAGATCGAACAGCCAAGCCTGCCCTTGCTACAAACTATGACAAAGGGAAAGATAGATACGAATTATCCAGAACAACCTCGCAGTCATCAATGTGGACATTTACGTGAATGGACTGAAGGAACACAAATTTAGCTTAGCGTCAACTGAAACGAAGAGAGTACTAGGGAAACATGCTCTCCGCTATCATTATCTTTGTAAGTGGTTAAAGTTTTATAAGGAAAGAAGATGACATTAATTTAGAATGGAGCAAAAAGATCAGCATGGATACTGGAGAACCACTTACCGACTGCGTGGGTCTGTCAGAAAAGACGTTTTTCCTTTGTACCTTCATAGTTCTATCACACAGATAAGATTAGAGCCGCCTGGAAGAACTGCTATCTGCCTTGAGATGAGGAAAATTGGTGCCTTATGGCATCGGATTTAGGGTTTTAGAAATGCCGAAAAGAAACCCCAACGACAAAAGAACTCTGTAATATCACTACGAGTTAGCTTGGTGGATCGGGGCTTCGCAGTTCACACTGGGCGCCCGTAAGACACTTGTTTAGACTCCTCCACACGGGTAGAACTTTTTATATCGGTCGAAAAGTTTTGCCATAAAACTTGTGAGAGCGGTCGCTTCTGCGTTTAGTTAGTAGTATTACCTAAAATACGTTAAAATGATCCGGAAAAATTCGTTGGCGAATTGAATGGTAAAATATATCTACGAGAAGGACAACGCTTCACCAAAAGCATCGTAGACACAGTCGATACACTGAACAGAAACGGAGGCCATTGACGGGGCAAAAAATTTGGCAGATTCCTGTAGCTCGCACCTTCAGCCCTAGGATCGTCGAAATATGTATCCATTCGAGTTAAGCAGAACTTTCCTAATAGATAATTTTTAGCTTGCGTTTGACAAGGACTCTGCAGCTAGGAGTACTACTCAGAGGTGGATTGTGTTAATATAGTTGCTAAATTCGTATAAACGTAGACCTTTTAGCTCTATAGTCCTAACCGCGCTAAATAAATCTCCCGAGTCGCTCCATGCGCGGAGACAGACTTTGCTCTTGCCGTCCGATATATCCGCCTTTGACAGTATAGAATATGTAAACGATGTAAATCTAAACGAAATTATTATGATAACCTTGTAAAATACTGCACTTGTCCGTAAACGTTTATTATTTAAATAGAAAAAGCAATCGACATCAAAAGAGCCAGGCCGCTACCCTGTCTACCTGCCTTATCGGAGCAGATACTTATTGAAAAGAAAATTGGATCTACCAAAATTCATGATGATATTTTTATTTAGTTATGCTTAAGGATAGCGACGGAAATTTCGCGCGAAGACTCAACGAGACAACCTGAAATAGTTCAAATAACGAAAACTTGTTAGAAGTTAGCTGAATTGAAATTTTTTATTAACTAATGAATGCTACGCTAGCTAGAAATAGCTAACGTAATCAAATAATGAATTGAAAAGAAGATATTGTTCTATTATGCTGTTCTATTATTAAAAAGTGTTTGAAGATCCTGTGTAATTCTTCTACTAACTTAAACTTTCACATTAAGACTCAGCGTTCATTTAAGGACGTTTGTTGTTTCTTGTTTTATACACGCTTTAGCTTAAACGCTTTAAATTAAAGGAAATATCGATAATGAAAAAAACTGCCTACAGTCTGTGACTGAACCATAGGTAGGAGCCTAATAAAAAAAAAAAGGTACGTTGCGGTAGATATCGCAATGGACCCTATTATTTTTTTTATCTATCTAAGACTTTTTCTATTAGATCAGTTAATAACAAACTATTCTTTCTTCATTATAACTTGTGAAGATCATGTTTATATTGTTCGAGTAGATATTCCATTCGTATTGTAGCCCGTTTGTATGATTCAGAACGTATAGCTCAATTTTAGCGTTTCTTTTCTACCTTACGGCCAATTCGTTGGGCGCTCTAATGATGTTGCTTCCCGTTTGGGTATCCATTACCATCGGAGTTCTATGATTAGCCGATATCCATTTTCGTTGTCTGGCTCGTAAAACCCTATCACATAAACCAGAGTAAACAGGTCCACAATGCAGATCCATTTGCAGCCTTCTGCCTTCAATTTTACCGTTCGTTTGCCACTCTCGCACGGCTTTAAGTTCTACTTTTTACTGAAACGGTCAAAAGATGTCCCATTTTCCTTTCGCAAGGTCTGTCCATTTGACTGCCTGTTGTAGTCGTGTGCGTTTTAGCTGACAAAGACAGAGAATTCTGTCCATGCGCTTGATGTTGATTCCTCTGACCAGGACATTTTCTGAAGCAAAGCGTTTATCTTTGTTAGTCGGGAATTTCACGTCGGGAGTTAGTCGGGAAGAATAGTGCGTAGTAAGTGTGCTTGACAATGCAAAGGCTTTTTTGACATTTCGATCTGATACTACTTGTCCGACTGATCTCTATCTAGCTAACATGGTCATCTTTTGCCTGTTGCACTACATTTCATTTTCTGCATTGATTTTAAGTACACTTAGTTGCCTGTCGCATCGCATGGTCGCAGAGTACAGTGGGTACTCTGGATCATTAGTTAGGTGATATTTCGTTCGTGTTTTTCTGCGATGGCAACAATAACATCGGGTATCCTTCAATGTGAAACGCATTTCTAAGAACAATTGCTACCCTATTCAAATTTGTTTACTATTCAACTTTATCTTTTTTATTGCAAAAAAAAAACTTCAAAAACTGATCGTCATGTGGGTGACTGGGTTTTCCGCGTCAGAAACCTTACGAGCTGACCGATTCTGAGCCTCTGAATCTTTTCCATGTTATTTTCTTGATGCGGGGTAAATGCCCTTAGAAAATACAAATGTCATTGCATTCCAAATACTTATCATCGTTAGGTACATGCCCAGTGTACGTCTTCTGCACAAGCTGAGTGTGTCTTCAATAGCACATCCCACAAACTTTGCTCGATGAGTTCAAGTTTGGCCATTAAGTTAACCTAATATAGTAAAACAACGAAAAACCAACTAAATATGACAGGTTTAATTGTTGCTAGCCAAAACTAGTGAGTTTTGGCTAACAGCAACTTTACGCTAGAAAAAGAAACACCAATAAATACTAGCGTTTGTAAAAAGGACTGTTACAAATTTCGAGTCCTTTCTGTGCCTCAATTCCACGTGTTACGCTATGGCACGGATATCCGTAAGAAGCATAACCTACAAACCATATCAGACTCGAGAAGGGCTGTAGTAATGAGACCCATAGAACTCATAATCAGTTTACTACTTATTGCGTTAATTATTTACATCTCCGGAAACGGAAGCTAGCCAGCAAGCGTTGCTTCTTTCAGCTAAAACTCCGTTACGATAAAAACTGTTGAATAGTTAGAAGTGTTGTCTAACAATGAAAACAAATTACTGCCTCACGAATATTTTTCTTAAACCTTACATACAGTGTGTAGGTCTTCACCTGTAAAGTCCATCACTAAGCACTGATGGAATTCACAGCGGGCGGGGCTCGCGCAGCATTCGGGAGGCAGTCCAGATCATTCATTTTTCTTCTTTGAGTCTATCTCTAATTTGTCGTCATTCTTCATTCTTGAGAGATAGCCTGGATAGTTGTTAGTATAATTCATACCTATATCTATATAGTTAAAATGTGTTATAATCTTTGACAGTTCATCCACGGTTAGTCTTATTGGTGACGTCGACAAAGAGTTATCATTGTTCGAGCCGATCTTTTCTAAATGTGTAATTTGTAAAGCGTTTTCGTTTTTAATATCGGACTACGCCCCATCTGTACGCGGTTCTTCTTCGCCAACCCGACCTGCGTGCTCCGATGGGCCTTAAATGTGTAACACAATGTAATCCGTCAGGGCGTCAGAGGTGATAAGTGGATAGGTGTGAGAAAAATTGATGAACCAATACTTAGCATAGGTGCTTTGGTTGCTGCTAACAAAAGTTCAAGACATACTGCAATTACTGCTAATTATTTGGACTGGAATTAATCTTACTTTTCCCCAAGGCCAAAGCATAAGGAGTAAGCACCGGTTTCCAACGTAGAATATTGTTTCTTTCCGGAGTCTAGTTTCCTCGGTCGTATGCCTACTCTGGCTCGTATGTCTCTGTCCTGTTGCCATTGATGATACTACATATAATCGAGCTTCGTTTGCTGATGTGGTTTTCATTTGATCGTTCCCGTTGCGATTTTTTTTTGTTTTTTCCTTCTTCTTTAGGCGCCGCTTTGCCATTTTCGTCTCCTTTTATGTTCAAGTTATGGTTCGTGTCCGTTGGTCGTCTACACGTACATATGCGTAAATATGATTTTATTATATATCATTTATATACTGTTATGTGATGTATTATCACCATGTATTTTCACACGGCTTTATATCGTCGACATATTTTGGCGCATGGCAAACTAAGACTATTCCTTTAGTTAGTCATTTTCCTTTTTGGAAAATGTAGGTCTATATGCTTTTACTTCCTTTCATCATACGATTATCATTGCTGTTGCGTATTATGTATGTTGCTGAAGGTTTCCCAGAAGAGAATAGGATCGATTGTGGCTGATCCTTGTTGTCCGCTTTTTCCGTTTGCAATTGTTGTTTTTCTAGTATTAAGAATAATCATGTAACACTAGCACTAATCATTGTTATATACAAACATGCTGGAGATCATCTGCCGAATAAATAGGACGAAATAGGACAGGCCCGCATAGTAACCATGACGGCGTTCGCCCCCCAGTTACTATAGCCGTTTGTTCCAATGGATGTGTAATCCTGTAAGCCTGTCTTATTAGCGCCTACCATATATATAGATATCATTATTATTGTTATCGTCGACCCCATTGTCGCTGATTTAACTGTCATTTAGTACTGTGGCTGCAATGCGACGCCGGCGCTATTGAGTTTGTTGTTGAGACGATTCAACTTAGCATCTGTACTTCGAACTTCATCCAGATGGCTGGTCAGCGATACCCTGCCTCTGTTGAGGCTACTGTTGCCGTCAGCGGCTTCTCCGTCAGCGCCGCGTCTTCTTCTCTTTCCGGGCGAATTGACCGAATTCCAAAAGTCGCGCTCTTCCACAGCTGCGATAAGGTCCTTGTAGTCGCAACTTCTCGAGAGGCCCGCGGCTATGTAGCATTCGGGGGAGCGAGCCCGCTTTTCTAGAGGCGCCATCGGGTCGATGAACTCGGGCGGTAGTTGTGCTCGAATGTCCGCCCTGCAACAAAACATACAACGACAGCCACATTAGCCTTTTGAAGACGCAGCTCCTAAAGCCTTTGCTACGCCGAGAGTCGTTCACCCGGAGCACGACAAGCGAAAACCACACCATCCCTATGGTCAAGTATAGGCCACATTACAGACGTGCGCATTACAGCCACCGTTGGAAGAGATCCCGTCACCGAACAGACAGAGTGAAAGTTCCGTGAAGCGACACTTCTTATGCAATAGGTTATTGGAAATGACAACAAACAAGCTCATCAGTGCTTCACAATTCACGATGGCCGCGTCGGAAATATTGCCGTCGTTTAAATCGGACGATCCATCATGTACTATGCTTCAGACATGCTACCGATGAAAATTTTCGATTAGATAAATAAAATATTTTAAAACGAACTTAAGTGGTCCAAGTGTACTTTAGCTCGTATGCGTACCATAATTTGACTAGGGATAATGGTAATGTATTGGCAAAGCAAGGTCCATCTGTTGCTGGTTCGTCCACTGAAACGAGCCCCTAATATTTCATGTTACTATATAGGGATATAGGTCGGCTGGTTGTAAAGGTAGAAGTACTTCACTTACTCCGCGTGTTCATCTATATTGTAAGTAAACGAATCAATAGATGGTTTGTTCTAATTTAATATTGTTTATACTAATATATTGTTAATTAAGGCTCGAACAAAATCAGTTTCGTTCGCGGGCATAGTGGCATGCAACATACGGCCACTAGCGGATACTGCTAATTGTATCCCGTCACAACCAACGTCAGTGCGCACTCACAGCTATAGATCCTCCAAAGCAAAGCGATAACCAACTCTTTTGCAGGGCTCTCTCCCTTGTTTACCTGCTGCACCTGCCAAGGGCTACCGAGCGTCACGAGCTGCCGGGTGCAGTTGTCCTTGCGCACTGAGGTTACCCGTTTTACCCCAAAATGATCGCCTTCATGCGAAACGTCTCGCGTCGATTGTCCGAGCAGCAGCCAGGTGGGGAGCAGCCTATCCTCCTAGCGATTGCCGTGGCGGTGGCAGCGGCACCGGCGACCCGTTTCCTCATTATATATGGCAATTGCTAACACACCGGGCACACGCTTTTCGATACTATTCTAGCTAGAACCTTGTTAGCACTACGTAATTTGAAGGAAACAATCGAACTTTTTCGCCGCTTCTCAAACATTCTATAATATACTATCGCTTATTCTCTCATCGTGCGCCTAAAGCCTTGCCGTCCTACTTCGTGCCGCCACAACAAAATAGCGTCGCATTTAGACAAGTCGAGTCCAGCTTAACTACGACATAATTCTAGAGCTACTCGACCGATCATCAGCAACGACTTTCTGGCCATTTCCGTCGTAGTGCGCCGCTAAAGTGGTTTAGGTAGGGGGTTATGCTAATTTTTTTTTTGCGTACAAACGAAGAAGTCTACAAAAAATGTTGGACTTTGTGGCCTTGTGGCAGCCTAAGTGAAGGCTAATGAGCATACACAGACTGGAGGGTTAACGAATTAAAAATTTATGCAGATTGAACAAAATGGGACCGTATTATGTAGCGTTTACTAAAGTGAACAGACCGTACAGGCTCGCGCTTAATGCAGCATTGTCATATCATATTAATTTAGATAGACAAGATAACACTTTTTCAAGTAAATTTCTTCGCTAGAGCTAATTTATTGGAACAACAAGGGATGAAAAAAGAGTAATCTAAAACTAGAAGTATTAAAAAAGGAAGGTAAGTTTTGATTGTACTATAATATCCAATGTTTACTTCTACGTTTACCCTACATGCCTATGGTGCATCCTTGGACTATATCCGATGTTTACTATATTGCTGCTGTTTAACAAGATAGGTACAAGGGCATCTTCAGATCATGCTAAATAACTGCACAATGACGCACCGCAACGACGATGATGAATAAGCTCTACCTTGTATTGTTTATCTAGTTGTGCGAACGTTTTTTGAGAGGCCTCATCAGGTAAAATTACATGACCCGTTAGCGAATATAATACAGAGGAGGAGAGTCTTGTGTAGGCTCACTCCCATACTGCATATTCATGATTCTTGTGGGAAGTGTTCACTGACTCTACAGACCCTCATCGTATTCAATAAACAGAAGGAAAAAAGGAAATGACACACATTTGTCCTTATGAAAAAAGGAAGCGGAGTAGCCAATTTTACATTCAGCACAGTTCTCCGTTACCTTGTTGTCAGCGAGTTTGTTGGTTTTCATGATTCTCCCTATAGCAGTCTTGCAGCTTCTAACTACCCGTTCTGCTCGAAGATGATGTTCTGATACGTAACATTCAAACGAGTTACATTCGCATTTAAAGAAACCTAAGAAGAATCTACCTCGTACACAGACCTGTACTCCAACGAATGATTATAGCATCATTCGTAACCAATAAGAAAGAATTAATTCATCGACCTATATTGATTGTTCTTTCTAAAATTCCCTCAGAGGCGTCTGTCGTATATGAACTACTACGCAAACTTTAAACTAATGCGATGGACAGAAACACGCGATTTTTTCCCAACAGATCCTTGACAGCTACTACAAAAATTCAGTTTTACGTAAAAAACATAAAAATAATAACGTTTCCACGAATGCGCAGCGGTAGACTTTGGATAGACTGTTCGTTACACTGACATATATAGGACGCTTTTCCCATACGTATGCACGAAGCTTTCTTTTCCAACAGCATTATAAGCAGACGAGTTCCCATTGGTTTTAGATTATTCTGATTACTTCCAGGCTAAGTTAGGACTACGCTTAACGAATTTGCTTCGCCCTCATTATAGGTCTAAGGTTAGTTTTAATTCGAACTTTAACGCTTTACTTAACTAGGTCGCAGCTGTAAATAGAAAACAAACTAAGGCTAAGGTTAAACTGGGGCTGCAGAAACATTCTTCTTGTTTATACATGAATAGTTACTGCTAGCACTAAAAATGCAGTTTAAGGCCAGTCATAATCGTCGCTGGCAAGGATGCAGGACCACTTTGGTTGCCGTTGGTAGATTTGTTTTGGCACACAGCGTTTGGGCTGCTGGATATCCTTCCACCTACAATCTTCTTCAAAATGCGATCGAAGCGTATTCGACGATCTGTATTGAGATACAGAGATCTAATATGTGCAGCATTATCATTGTAAAATTCGCTCAAAGCTTTGTGTCGGATGAGGGGCGTTATGTGCGAGCGTCGCTTGTGAGCCCGGGGCGGGTAAGACTTTTTCACGAAAAAGCGGGGCATCCAGTGAACATGTCGTTGCGTGTACACAACGCGCTCGCGAATGCGGTTTGTGCCTCTTACATCTGAAGAGGCCCACTTCCTGTTTGTGTCAAATGCGCCAACCGCGCCTGCCAATTAGCTGAAGTATCTCAGGTCGCATTTCAGGCATGGAGGCCACGGAGGAGAAGCGAGGTAATGCTGAAAGCTGCTGTTCTAGACTGGCTGATTCTCGGTGCCTGAGTGACTCTGGGTCGTGGCTGCAGCAACAAAACGGACGGAAGAGCCGTACGGCGCAGAAAATGAATAGCCAAATTGTCTTTCCTTTGCATGTGAAGTGAGTCAGATATGAATGTGTCGGCAGTAGCGTATGCGACAAGAGTACGGCGAGCATTCCTTGTACGGGAGAACTATTCTAGCAAACTGACTTCACCGACGACTTCTCGGAACGGTAAGATTCCAATCACGTTAAAGCTTTCATTTAGATCTTATTTCTAGTCGCAATCAGACGTGTGTTTGCTGAGTTCGCCCGCCATGTGCGAGTGTACGCTCAAGCCTACCTGCTAGTTTCTAGAGCTTGCGGTTTGCGGGACTGCTAAGGTGTTCTGACCATGGTCTGATTCACTACATCGAAATAATCGTTGAACCGAGACGAATCGAAGTCGGATTTATGGGCTCAGTCCCAGTTGCTTGACTGTAACTCGAGTCGTTTAAACTTTGAATGTTAGTAAAAACGCAGTTATAAACAATTGTATTCTTATCCTCGTTTTAATTCTATCGATGGTAAATCTAATATACGATGACGCCACCGACCAGCTCAAAGCAAAGCTCGTGACTGATCGTAAATGCCGCCCAAAATGCTTTATCATTATTACAGAGAAAATCGTGCATCTTTTTGCAAGGTAGCAAATCAATGAGCTTATCATCACTGGACAAGTTCAGATCATTTACGGATGAATTATAACAGATAGCAGTTACTCCTATCTATCCAACTAACTCACCTGGCAACATAAATTCAATTCAGACACATTGGTGAATCAGTAATTTTGGGTAGTACTTTCGTGTTTTCAACGCTCAACAGCGCCCGACAAATAACCTGGAACACATTTCCTGTGTCACGGGCCCAAACACAGCTAGCTGTGTGCGGTCCGCTGCCAGTTAACCTAATGGCGACACCTGGTCAGTCAAGTGGAGTCTGCATCGGTTAGGAAACACCCAGAATAACCCCAACAGGCTAAACCCGACGCAGGATAGAGTCGAACAGGAGAATGATACAACTATTGTGCTTCAAGTATTCCCTCTGTTTTTTTTCTATGCCTAAAATTCAGTTGCGACAACTTCCGATACTCGTTTGTCTTGATGATTCCAGCTCATATTCCCATTAAATTCGTAGAATCGTCAACGGTGAGGTTGTAATGGATGTCAATTTTCTGACCGCCACCAATGGAAACGAGCAGTGCCACGGTAGTAGGAAAAAATATACCAATATATTTATTAAAGGCTTCTCTACTATATGGCCGAAGTCGACTCACTACAATTTATTTTTGTAAAAAATATTAATAATGCCAATGTCGTTGCTTCACATAATCCCACAAGGTAGGTTATATAGGCAGCAAATCGGGCTACATAGGTCATTTGCGCCCAACGAAACTTTTTCATTATTACGGCTAGAGAAGCCGAAGCTTTATAATAATTTTCTACTAAGTTAGGTAAGTCAAAGCTTCTAATTCGTTCACTATAGGTTCGCATAAAGTTCTCCAATATGGAGCCGGCTTTTGGCTTAAATACTGACACATCCACGACTTGCGTTTTGTTCGAAAGCAGAGGCGGAGCAGTAACCATGTGCGTGGCGTTCTCCAGTGCCAACGTGGTCGGACTAAGGCCCGAATAATTGTTGTGTCTACGCATAATTTAGGCCTGATTGTTATCCATGGTAGATGCTGATCCAAGGTCATGGCTACTCGCAACGTGGTGCATTTGTTGACGCCATCGTTCGTTCCAAAACATTTACCATGCCAATGAGATCGTCGAAATTTCGTTCAAAAGCAACCACGTCTAACATACATCGTTGTTGACAATAACGACTTGTTGTATAGCAAATACGAAATTGTACTTTGAGGCCACTTAGTTCTCAAGAAAGGTCTTTTTTTTTAAAAAAATAGCATTGATGGCATACGGTTGCGTTTTTGTGCTCGAAATATAGTAACCCATATAGCCTTGGGTGATTATGTAACATAAATCAATGTGATACCTTTCATGAAACTTTTAGTTTTCCGGTGATAATTAACGCAGCTTTAATACAGACGAAGCTGTGGTCAAGGAATGAGATAATGATTCTGTTTTTTGTAGTTCAACGAGAGTTGAATGAAATGCAAGAAAAATATCTCCGTGTAACTTCAATAAAATAATAACAATGTGAATTGCATTAAATTTCTTGTCCTTGGCATGTGAATTGAACAATTATCAATTCTTCCCTAGAACAAAATGGAGTAGTCTATACAGGTTTTGATTCTTGTAGTCCCATCTTTCCCTTTATTGCCATATTGCATTAGTTGCTAATCTGTACCGCGTCAACCGGCGTTAGCTGCTGTGGAAACCATCGTTGCAGAGGTTCCATTGCGGCCGTTTTGCTGTTCGTTCAACCCCCACGTAAGCGACTTGCCCTCTTTGAGGTTTCGGACATGTCGACATTTGTTCGGAGCTTGTTTTCTATTTAGTCGTATTTGATCGCGAAGTTCCTTATCCATCAAATGTCGGTCTTCTATACCTAATCCGATTCTGTCTCCTGAATTAGTATTGTTAGTAACGAAAACTGCGATGTAACTAGATTTAAGTGTCGCTTTAAGAAGAAGGAGGACGACCCGTGTTCTATGAGAGCTTTAATATCACGCGTCGAGCCGTCGTTGAAATCAGTTTCACGGCCACGTTCGAACTAATGCATTTTTGTACCTTAGCCATTCGTTGTATTACTCAACGCTAAAGTCCGTTGGCCCGTTTTTCGTGTAGAGTAGAAAGAGGAGATGAGGTTGCCTATTTAACAGACAGGACCAGGACTTCTCTACCATGCTTAGGCGATGAACCGAGGCGACATTTCTGTCCCAGCGTTCGTCGGTTCTATTGTCTGGGCCAGGTGATAAAGCCAAAACGCTTAACTTGTCCCACTACTGGCGAAATGTTTTTTTCTGCTTTAGCATTCTTGCCGATCTCTGAAGTTTTACGACTGAATCGGTCCGGGTACCACAAGCAAATATATCGTTAGGCAGACACTTACTACGCTAATAATAATAATAATAATAATAATAAGGAGTTCTGAGGTAATAGGGGGAGAAATGAGCGAAAGTCCTTAACCTTAGTCTCTATAGTGTGTATATGAGATTCCAACAGTTCTGTTCTATCTCCCTAATACTGCTGTCAACAGTGGTCGCACCATCCTAGAGTAGCTGGCACGAGTGTGGCTTGACAGTCGCCCTGTCTTCTTCGTGCACGCCTCTAACAAGAAAAAAATTAATTGATCGGAGTTTCGATTTCAGCCATCAATCCTGGTCAGTTGGACGCAAGCTGCGTACGCTGGGTAGGGTTGAGCCATGGATTTGCAAAGCTATCGTTCAGATCGTGCATACAAGCTAAAGAGTTCAGTCCCTCTCGAAGAGGGAATTCGCATGATGATCGCAACAGAGAGGCGAAACCCGAAAACCGTAATCAACCCTCGTCTTCTCAGAACGCACGTTATGTTCTCCATTATCTACCTATGTACTACCGTAATAGTAACAGACGACAGAGTAATATTTGCGTGATTAGCGCGCATCCCATATAGTAATGACGATTTATTCGGATAGTTTGCTCACTTAACTACGAACGAGACAGAAAAAGGTTTGGCTCTTCCAGCCTTCTCCCGACGGCGATGATGATGATGATCGTGCCATCCCCCTGAATTTCCGTCCACTTCATGGTCTTTCATACGTGTGCGTCGCGTCGTGTGTCTGCTTGCTTATGGCTCCCGTTAGCCTCGCAACTCGCAGGAGCTGCCATCCTATTAGTTAGTACTTGCATTCAGCCCTTTTTCTGTCATTCTGTAGCCAACCAAAATGCTATTGCCTTCATAACAAGAGGGCAACGGATAGCAGTAGGTGATTGCGAAGGGACGGGAAGTCGTTGCCAAACAACTCCCGAAGCCGACTACTCGTGTTTCATCAGTCGCGTACTGCCTGGCTGGCTGGCTGGCTGGCTGGCTCGGAATGGGATGTTAAGCGAATACGTTCGATGAGTACCTGCAATGAACCTTTATTGAGTCGAGATAAACTATTTATTTTTAATTGGACCGTTCCAATGCTCAAAAGTGAAAGCAGATGTTAGTACCGCGAGCCAGGCGGGTTATCCAAAAAAGTACAATGTTGGCGAACAAGGTAGCACTCTTTGAGGGTCAATAACAAACACGAAAAAAAGAATAGAATTTCACGAACTGTGGAACAGCGATACCATAACCACAAAAAAAAAACCACAAAGAACCATCATTGCCATCACCAGCCCCGTCATAACCGTCACCGACACTAGAGCCGCAGGCGTCGCATAGACACTCGAAATCTTATCGTAAAAATCGAACAGAACCGAAGCTAAAAAAGAAAAACATTAGACGTCCAAAGACGACAGCTGTCTCAATGACGATGAAGATTCGCCAGTAGAAAGGCACTCACTGGCGATTGTGAATTATTGATGATGATGACGTCTAATTCCAGCTCATACTCAACGGATCAGCTTCCTTCTCTTCCGAATGCGGTCACTTTTTCACTCAGGTTTCCTTAGGTTTGTTCGCCAACAGGGCTTTGTCGTCGAAGTTATTTCCTTTATGATGGCGTCGCTGGCATTCTCTGAGTCATTATGCGCAGATACCCTTTTATCGTTAATGTTTGCTATGTCTAGTACAGTTATTGTTGTTGGGGTCTTCACGTATGTCACCGTTCTACCTGCGACCAACGTCATCGAGGTCTCCCGGATTGAAAGCGGTTTCAGCCAGAAGCATACAGTCAGGCTGTCCGGGCAAGCGGAATGGAGGGCAATAGTGATCCATGAGCGTGCCTCGAGGGCTGGCAAAACAGTCATACGATTGATACACAAAGCTTGCTTATTGTTCGCTCTCGCTAACCAGCTTATTGTTGACAGATACCGTTGACAAAAGTTACACAGCGAATGAAGCTAGAACTAAAGATTAAAAGTTACCACTAGCACACTGATAATTAAATTGTTTTTAAAATTTTGCGCTCTTTCCCTCCCTCTGATATAAATACTAACACACTTCGTTACCATTTAAATGCCCGTGACTGCATACACCTTACAAATGGCCGTAAAGCCTGTGTAGAGATTTGCGCTCAAGGAATAATGAATCATGTAGAATATTAAAAACTGTTTTTAGGAAAACTCTGCCTTCTATTGGTTGCAGATAATAAGCTATGGCATAAATTATTTTTAAAGGCATTGTAGTAGTAGTAGGTACGATTCACACACGTTTTGTGAACAAACGGATGCTACGATAATGCCGATTATACGTTGTCTACAGATACTCCCAGACCTGTTTGTGGAACAAGGCGGTAATAATATCGTTACCGTTTTGAGTCAGACGCAAAGAAGGATGAAGGCTTACAATTCAAACAGATAGATCGTCAGCTGTGTATTTATTCTCTTTCTAAACAGAGACTTAATTTTCCTACTGACTGTCCTGTTCTTATTTCATCTTGTGCAAGAGCTTCTATATAAATAGATAAAAGAGCTATTGGGTTCAAAGGATCATAATTGGTACTAACGTAGGACACAGATTTGATAGGTCCTGTTAATTTTTTTCTGTCTGATGAGCAGATCCGACGGAGCCTGTTAGATGTAACGATGTCCATTTAGTCGACCAGAGATGATCAGCCAAGATATCACGGCTCCACTATATGCGATAAACATCTATAAATTCCTTATTTTATGTAATTATGCCAAACTTTAGCCTGCGTGTCTGCCTGCTTGCCTGAATGACAGCTTCAAATCTTAGCCTACCTAGAAAGCAATTCAATAATCTAGGTTCGCGTAGCTTCTCACACTCGAATGGTTTGATCATGAATCAACCCATGTATTTTTGTTTGCGTTGCTGTAACTCGTATAAACTAAACCTTCTAAAGACCGAGTCTTGGGTTTGCTAGAAAAAAACATCAAAGATTTAAGACGATGATATCTTTACGAAATATTTTTCGCTATATAAAAAAACGGATAATAATTATTTTAGTTGTCAGCTAAATGAAGTTTTGGAAGCTCTGTTTATTTTTTGTTGCAGATGTTTCGGCCTGTTTAACTGGAACCTCTTAAACCGATTCCTTAGAAATTGGTTTACTTTTTTTTTCCAATATACTGCTAACCGGAGATCCAATAAGATCTATATTGGCTAGATATGACTTCGTTGTAAGTTGAAGTTGAAAATTCAAGCACTGGAAGAAACACCTTGGACTTTGTAGAGGTCAAGCAACATTTTAATGTAATTTACTATTTTTAAAGCAGTTCATTTCAGATATCTGTGCTTCAGGACGCAGTTCAATATTAAAACAATTGTGGAAAGTGAATGTGCCAAACACGATTTTTCGTTTATCAGTACTTACTCTTTGGCCTTCAGTTCTTCAGTAAGGGCATTTAATTCTCGGATCAGATGCTCCACTTGCTTTCCCTGCCTCTTGAGGGTAATAAGATATCGCATGCGTGCCGAGGGACTGAAACGATAAGAACGCAAAGAACGATAATAGAAGGCGTCATTTACCCATGGGACACTTGTCTACAGCGCTCTGCCTCGATATAATGTATGGCCAGAGAACTTATGCTACAGAAGCTAAGAACAAACACATATTACGTTACCGAATTCATTCGACGCTTGTTGGACACACAGTAAACATATTCTTAAGTATATACATAAGCGGGCACTCTAGTTATCGTTATTTAATCCTGCTATCTGTAAGTTAATCACAATTAACTTACAGAATCAGACGAAAAGAGGCGGTGTCTTGGATAGAATCGACACAAAATTGACGCTCCGATGTTACCCGACTTTAAAAATTACATCTCCGACCAATTCGTTGGCGAATAGTAGCAGCCATGAAAATACATTGACTTAATGAGAAAGAGACGTCGTAAAGGCAATGTTCGGACCGACATTGAACTCCAGCCGTGAACCTTAGTTGGTCTCATAATTAAAAAAGTTTTCTAGACCGAGATAAGACAGTATGTATTTTTCAATACTGCGAACAGTGTAGTCATATTAGTAGTTACATACGTTACTAGTTCTTCACAGGCAACTTACTCTGACTAAGTTACAGGGCGGACACACTTGGCAACCCGCCTCTTAAGCCAATTAGCTCAGCATCATCAATGAAGGTTTCTCAAATCGGGTACATCCTGCGTACCTAGTGTTGGTCTATTAAGGTCGAACGGGGTTAGTAGTTTAGACCTTAGCTAATCAATTGTATCGCGTAATTTCAGTTATGCCGTTGGTTGCGTCCGATCAGCAATCGTTTAGATGAGCTACGAGCAGTACTATGTCGAATTAATACAACCATTACTAGCACTCCTTGTCCATCTTTATTAGGTTCATTTCTCCCCTAAACAGTGTTGTAGTATGATTGGCAGAAACGCGAGTAAAATACGCGTAGGAATGATTGTTAGATGGCGATCGAATATATTGTGTGTACATAGACACTCGAATATAAGTCAGTGACAGAAGAGGTTTCTACATTATGGAGGTTTAACGTTTGATCGCTGGGTTAAGATTGTGTGGTCTTTTATGAGACTTTCAATTGTTATTGGTCGAAGTATCAAACGGAATCGACTTTCAACGAGAGACAACGGCTGCTGTAATAAGCATCTTCCAATTTCCCTAGCTTCGTTAGCTTTTTACTTAAAACAACATTTACTTCTGATTCTTCTGCAGAATTATTACTTACTAAAGTTTTCTGCTAAGATACATGCCGGAATTAATCATAGTAACAGTAAATGGCCATAAACACGTTCATAGATGTTAACTACGCTCAAATCGAATTGAGAGAATCAATCGTACTAACCTCTAAATCAAACCTGTGCGCTTAAGTACCCGTTCAAACATGGCTTGTGCCATTTATATATCTTCTCCATAAATAGCGAACTCTTCATTCCGCCTACCCTGAAACAAGCTATTGTTGTCTAGAACCAAAAGTTTCACCTTTCTTGACCCATCTCAAGAGTTCAGATGGTGTTAACCAGTAAATATGCATGCGGCAAGCAAAATACACATAAAAATATAGTTGCACATATTAAGTTTCCTCGTTCCGATCAACAACTTACCGTTATTCAAAACGTTACGTTCCTTCGTCGAATGACTAAAACTAAGCTATCGAGCGTCCTTTCTAACGCTTCGTTGCTGTCTGAACCATGTCCTGAAAGCTGACCTTTTGCAACGAACTTTTGCTTATCAAAATTTTTCCAATGCACGATCAACACGGCTATAACAAGGTTCCCGGAAAACAGCGCTCTTATCAAATACTAGTTTATACTTCTAGATAAATGAGCCAAAGAAATGGTAGACGTATAAATACGTTGATAGGCATAGGAGATAAAATTATTTCAAGTCTGAATGTTGCATGATACGATGCCGGAGTATCCTGATGCCAACCTTAGGCGGCAGAACGTATTATCGCAACCGGCAGAGAAGTATCCATAAAGAAGGCATTTATGAGATCTCCTTGCTATATATACAAGTACCCGATACGAACAAAACAAAACACTGTCATTCATTAAGTTTCAGTCAATCTCTGTCGTTTCCAAAAAGCTATACTTAATAAAGTACTAGGCATGTTTCTTTTAAGCACTTAATAATAGCGTACCAATTTAAGACATTTATTGCTACGTTTAATGTCCTCTCGGATTATTTTAGTTTATAGTTAGTTACTTTATTCAGCTTAAGGATAAGACATCGGTGCCTAAACGATGTGGTGATGGGTCAGAATAGACACGTCCCGATAGAGTACCTCAATACGTCATATGTCGCACGAGCATTTATTTGCGCTTACTTCTAGTCGTCTTCAATGTGGCCAAGTGAACGTATTGCTGGATCTGCGCCTTCCATTCTCGAACGAGCCACTTGAATAAACCGGAAGACACTGTTTTCTAGCTAAACCTATTCTATTCGATATGAGCATCTCTGAGCCGACATTCAGAAAGCACAAGTTGGCCAGGTGGCGAAGAAAAGGTCAAGAGTAAAGAAGTTGGGATCATGAGAAGTTCATTTATCGTTACTTCAAAACAGTAAAGTCGAAAATCCTTTCAATCGTTCGAAAGCAGATTTGCAGTAACGTGCGGTGTCTTACTTTGTACTGCCACAACCATCCATTTGCCAATGATGTGGCTGAAGGGACGTTTGCTGCTAATAATTGTCGATAGGCAGATTGGAACAACGCTATGTGTTCTTGCCCTGTGCACTCACTGTTACTGGAACTACCGTTTACTTAACACATGCTATTTTTATTTATTATTTAACACATTTATTACCCTATATTACATACAGTAAATATACGCTGTATTACATTTTTACAGCAAAAAACCAAATAAACAAACATAAATTGCATGTGTAACGAGAAAGTTTGCCCTGGTAGCAAATTAACTGAACTATTTCGGAGCTTTAAACTACAACAATTTATCAGGAAAGGCACATAGTCGGGCTTAAGTTTTTCGTGTAATAAACAGTAATTGTTCGAGAAGAAAACCAAAAGAAAAAATCTAATCAACGGCGGGCTAACATGTGGATCCCACAAATTTTAGTCACACATAGACAATGTACGGCTTTTGAATTGGTCCAAAGTTTGGCGGGCTGCTTATCGAAACAGCAATGCGTCCATCCACTACTTCTAGTACCAAGCGAAAGCCAGATCTTTCTACAACAAAACAATAAACCTGTCATGGCAAACAACAGTGTGCTGTTTTGAGATTTAAAGGGAAATCCGCTAATATCCAATGCTTCAGGGCTGGATAATCATTTGGTTTGTCCTAAGACAACGGTTTACGTTATTACCAATTCCCACGCGGTTTCTAAAAATATAAGAGAGATTTTTGTGGGGCAAACTGGGCGATTCTCAGTGGAATATAAATTTAAGGGGCTCAAAAACTCATCAAAATGGCTCAAAAAGCCATTTTGATGCACCTAAGTTATCAAAATTTATAGCCGTTTTAAAGAGGAGAATAGTCTAGATAAGCTTTAATGCTTGAAGTGTTTGAGCCTTCTTGCACCTTTCGACCTTTTTGACGGTTTTAAGCCCTTGCATTTTTGGGATTTGGCTTGCTATCAGCCCAAAATTTACCTTCGTTCGAATTTTCCTATGTACCATTGTCAACGACATTTTTACGAGCTAACATCCACTACTATTGCGTGACGCACAATTGCTATTTATGGATTAAAGTATATTCTGAAAACAATTAGCTTCGGTACCGAATTGAAACTGCAGTCGTGGTAAAGATGGTTATACCAAGCAAACACGATGGTAAAGAACAATACTTTTATCACATATAAAAAGTTTCATTTAAATATCCGTTATTTACATACAAATTTAGAAACAAAGCATATGCAAACGTCCTAAAATAAATATTTTTTTACTCGCACAAGGTGAGAAAAACGTGGTTTGTTTAATTCAATTCCTTTTAGAAAAGGCTAAGCAATAACTGCAATAACAATAATAAGAATAATAATAATATTTCTTGCGACCTTAGAAGGCGCGCATTTTTTTTACGTAAGATTGTGTTTCTGAGATGGGATATCAAATTTCTGGTCACTACTCTCTATTTTCCTCATGATCCCACCTCTCCCTATCTTCCCGTTGAAAAAGTAGCAATAATTTTGTTTGGGGTATGAGATGGTGCCTTTCTCCTTTGTAGAGCTTACGGGTTTCGTCAGTCAGCGTAGGACGAATCATTATTTGGCTCTTAATGACATGAATGAGCTCGTCATGCTCCTAGCGACTCTTTCTGTCTACTGGTTAACGTCTGCTAGCCCTATTTTTCCCCCGCGCACTCATTCGGCAATTCTGGACAGCCCTCCGCACCCCTTAAGTTAGAATGAACTGACAAACGTCACTTGCTGCACCACTAATGACACCTTTTTTGCCGCAGGCCATTACCTTTGGCCTTTGTTGTCGTTGTTGTCGTAGTCGGTGTCCAGCGTTTTTCTCATCATATGTGGCCCAGCGGCCCCGTCAGGACTTGCCAGTGTGCCTGTTCCATTTTGGTTCGCTGTCGACGACGCAGGTAGCGCAAGCTTCGTCAGGTTGTTTGTGCCGTCATTCTCTTGCCATCAGGCTTTACCATCACCCCCTGCTACTCATCCACACCTTACCGCCTCGCTCCACATAATGCCTTAGCCCCTACAACCTGAGCCGGGTCGTATCATAGAGTGCAGACTAAGCTTCGTATTGCTCCAGCACGTTATATCCAGCCAGGAAAACGACGACGTCGTCGTCCCCCGCTGAGAGATAGACTCACAGTCCTAAGAAGGGCTGCTTTCCCTTCAGTCTTTGCCTCTCACCCTCCGTTCCCTCTGTTCGTTTGTTGTTCGCCGGGCCTCCGCACCACCGGCAGCCATAGATTCCTTAGCAGATTCTCCGACGACTTCGCCTCCTCCCCGTCCCCTGCCCTAAACACTTCTCTTTTTGCCGTGCCTTCACGTTGGCCCTAGCCTGTTCCTATCGACCCTCAGGCT